ATGCTGTGTGGTATCGGCGTTTGGTATCGGGGCATTTTAACGAGTACGAGTACAGGAGCCCAGTATCGTGCATCCCTACATGTAGCTATATATATATATATATACTTATATACACACACACACACACACACACATATATATATATATACATATAAATATATATAGTTAATTGAATAATAAATAATATTATTTTGGGGGGTTTTGAACTAGATGTTTGAAACCATCATTCAAAAACTACTGATATAGAAAACAAGAATTTATTTAACAGTTTTTGTTTTTTTAAATCCTATACTTACTGAGTTGACAACAACATCCCCATGTGACCCCTGTCTCCCTTACAAAGTTGCCGCAAAGTGCTATTAGTGGCTCCCTGGCCATTGCTATACTGCTGCTGCTGTGTTCTGGGTATTTTGTAAATGTGTCTGGAGAACATACTCCTCTGTAATTTTATTTGTCGAATTACAATGTAACACAGTTTCAGCTGTCTACAAACAAGCACAGATCAATGAACAGCAGTCAACTGCAGCAGTCTCCTCTAACTGCTGTCTTTTCAATCAAAGGCTTCTTAAAAGACTCTGATAGAGTAGAAAGGACATTAAGCTGTATCTCAAACACTCAGTCTATTATCTCTCCCTTCATCACCCTTCCTTTCCCATTTCTCTTTCTATCCTTTCATGCCCCCAGCTACAGATTTCCCACTGTCCAATCCTCCACACCCTTTCTTCAACCCTGTATTAAACTGATTTCTCTCCTTCTCCATCTCATTTACCGTGAAGTAGAACTGTTCTGTCTCCTGCTGGTTGGCTCGTCTCTTGGCCAGGCTGGGTTTGCTCATGAAAGATTCAGACACAGTGGACTTGACCGACTCCATCGAGTTACTGTGGTGGAAGCAGTCAGTCACATCAAAGTCCTCAATGGTCACCATGTCCTGGATGGTTTGTAGAGTGGCCTCCATCGTCTTCTTTACCTGGAAAAAGAGTATGTACATTATAGTTGCTACATGTCGGCAATATTACTACGTACAAAATACACGAGTGAAATGAAGCAACAGCAATTTCTTCTGCTGTAATCACTTGATCAAGATTTCATTTTACAGACTGGTGCACTGCATTAAATCATTTTCTTGGTTGTAATTTCTGTCTTGTTTTCCATTAAATGCATCCAAACATCCTTAAAAGAACATAAGGAACAAAATTGCATATGATATTAAGATTTCTTAATGTCTTGAATTAAGTTTGTTTCTCAGACCACTGGCTAATTGATTTTTATATTATTCATGAGAATAGCTTCACTGCATTTTGTTAGATTAATATTTTAAAGCAAGAAAAAAGATTAGGCCAACTTAAAATTTAATGCACTTCGAAGAAAACATTTTTTAAGGATGTTTAAATATGTTTACTGAAAAATGGGTCATAACACTAATTAAAGGTGCAATAGGAGATCTTGGAAAATGCTAACTTTAGCCTGATAGCACTGAAAGCGAACGTCCCACCCTCCCTGCAATCGCCGTCCAAAGCCACGCCCCCTGAACACATTTATGCTCACAGACTAGAGACAACATTACTACAATAGGCTAAATCAGGTTCCCAAATTCCAGCCCATGTTCCGAAGTGAAGTAAACTTCAACAGATTTCCCCCGCTCAGGGAGCAGGGAGCAATGAACACTGTGTAGGGATCATATCGATCGGAACACAGTTCATGCACGTAGCTCACTTCTAACGAGCTGGCGCGAGGACTAGATTAACCGCTGGGCTACATCATTGTGGATCGTCGGATCGGACAAAATTAATTAATAAAAAGACAGTATTAGTCATTATAATCCGTAATTATGTCCCCACTGGATGCAACGAATGCCTCGTTTATAATGGGTTTTCATGTTTTTAGCAGCATCATATGACCCCTTTAATGATTGCTATCGGGATCTGAAGAGACTTTCAACCAGCATAACAAAAAATGTTTCTGAAGACAATCACCTATTGCACCTTTAAGTAAATGTGTTTTTTCCATTGTCAGAAAAAACAAAGTTTTTGTTTTTAATATCACAAACGTCTGAGTGAAAGATATATTAAAAAAAAAAAAAAAGAACATGGAGAAAGTATAATGCTTTATTGAAACACTAACATTAACCCATTAACACTGTTACACTACCTCCCTAGTCCAACCAATTCTATTTAAAGGGGTCATATGATGCGATTTCAATTTTTCCTTTCTCTTTGGAGTGTTACAAGCTCTTGGTGCATAAAGAAGATCTGTAAAGTTGCAAAGACTAAAGTCCCAAATCCAAAGAGATATTCTTTATAAAAGTTAAGAGTCAGCCACACCTACCTAAAACGGCTCGTTCGAACACGCCCCCACATACCTACTTTCCGTCTCACGCTTGAGGTATTCGGCCAATCACAACGCATTGGATAGCTGGCCAATCAGAGCACACCTCGCTTTTTCAGACCGATGAGCTTTGTAAAAATCGACGCGTTTCAGAAAGGCGGGGCATAGAGGAGAAACAATAATGCACAGTATGTGGAAAATAATGTGTTTTTTTAACCTTAAACAGCATAAACACATTTCATTACACCAAATACACAAAATAATGTTCTTTTTAGCAGCATCATATGACCCTTTAAACCTTTTTTCCCCCACATTATCTGTTGATGGATTTCAACATAAATGTTTAATGGTAATGTTAAACAGAGCTACACTCTTATTGGTAGCTTAACATTTTATCAAATTAGCCATAATACTTGTCATAGGTTCGATTTAGACAAAAGTGCCTAATCAAAAACGCTTTTACTCAGTAAATGCTTTGACACAAAAAAAGTGCACAAAAACGTTTAAAGTTTGACAGATGTAATATAAGCATAAAGAATGAATGTGCACACATTTGTTGTGCACATTATATTTGTTGGACCATGTGTATGTCACCTCTTCATTCTCTATTGTCAGTGTGGACAGGCGGGACTGTAGCTGCTGGCATCTCTGGATCAGCTCTCCTTGCACGGGCTGCTGGGCACACAAATGTCCCACCTGAGGGAGAAAGACAGATGAAAGTGCTTGAGAACTTCAACAACAGAATGAAGGAGAACTAAAGCAAGTCCATCTCCAGCAGTGATAAAGCTGATGTCCCCATATGCTCTGAAGAATGGAGTGACCCGAGCAAGCCTCTATCTGCCTCTTGCTCACTCTCTTTCCCACTCTCTCTCTCTCTTTTTTGCCCATAACAGCTGGGGAACATCTGGCTCACTGTGGTCCACCCTCTCCCTGAGGGCTGAACACACGACAGGGCACACGTGCACTGGGGAAAACCAGCTGCTCTGTTCATCACACACATACAAACATCCAGGACCCCATGATGCAAGTTGGCTAATTACAAAAACATCAGCATAAAGTTCAGCATAGCAGAAAACATTGTTGATTGATTTCACAGAAAAAAATGTAGTACAATTAAAAATGTTAATGTTTAGTTTGAGCTGTAGTGTCAAATTTTTTCAATGCTAAAATACTTCCTTCTATCCCAGTTTAATATTCACACTGTGTCTCTATAAGTTTGACTGACCAATGACAATGCTTAGAAAACCTTTTGTAAAAATCATTATGTTTGATTTGGTGACAATAGTGGCACAGGACTGACACAAAACAAAACAAAACAAAAAACTACAACTATTTTACTAATAAACAAACAAACAAATAAATAAATAAAATTAAGAATAAACAAAATTAATAAATAAAATAAAAAACTGATTTAACTGGCTGTTTGTAGGTGCTGTGGCATTAAGCACTGATACAAGTGGCAAAGAAAGAACACATCTCACCTTAAATAAAATAAAATAAATACCTGAACCAGTTGTGATATTTTAAGACACAAAATTCTGTAAGATCTGTCAGATAATACTGACAATTTCTGCATGATTCAATATATAAATTACAGCACCTATAAGGTTAGCAGTCAATTTGCCATATTAATAGAGAATAATATAAAACATAATAACTGGACAGTCTAAATGACAACCTATAATAATACAGGGCTGAAGTAGGGTTGTGACGGTGAGGAAATTTTCCCACCGTTTAATCGGCGTGTGACAACACCGGTAATACCGGTATCACCGTGGGGGCGGGGGCGTTACAATAGCTTGTAAAAGCTGCGTGCGCATTTTACTTTCACTTTCAAATAACGGCAATTCAGTGTAAAGCAATTGTTCGTTTTTAGTTCGTTTGAATTTCCCCTCTTTTCCTCGCTTTCCTTACCGGAAATAGGCTAAGTAAACATGTATAATATATAACCAAATAAATAAGAAACGTAGAACGTTTATAGTAAGAAAAACTAGTAAGAAAGCTTGGAGGCACGGCATACACCTTGATGTAAAAAATTAACACAAAGTTTAAATAAAGTAAAAATCAGCAAACAATGTGGAACCAATTAAATAAGAAATTAATGTTTAAAAAAAACTTCCAAAATCACCTTAGATAAACGGCAAAAGTCAACAGGCTTTTCAAAATCCAAAATATTGCCAAACAGGCGCTTTTGCGTCTCGTTTCGTAACTAAATCATCCGCCATCGTCTTGTCTGTCTCACCTCACCTCGCTCTTCTTGTTAGTCAGCTCGACTCACTCTCCTCACTGGATAAATTAAATCTGATCTGTGATGCGACTGTCGTTCGGCACGCTGCATTGAGCAGCCGCGTTCAGTTTTTAATTGTAGTGTCTGTTCTTTTACTGAACTAAATGATTTTTATTACTATAAAAAATCAAAACGACAGTGGGGGTCAGTGCCGCGGTGGGCAAGTGACATAACCGGTGTTGCGGCTTAACACCGTCAGCACCGTCTATCGCGGCAAGCCTAGGCTGAAGCAACTGTGGTTTCTTAGCAGGCATGTCAGTCACTATGCAACAATCTGATTGAGCAATGCTTCATTCCTCTTGAGGTGTCTGGGTTTGTTTGGACATGCAATGAGACGTAACAGCAGGACACATAGTCTCAGAGAGACAATGCTGATCGTTGTGTAACAGTACCGATTGGTATTTAGCGAAGCTGATTTCTTGATATCATCAAGATGTTTGATATTTTGGAGCAAAAGCACTTGGCATCAGTAAAGCTGCACTCAGTTGCCTAAGAATGTCTGTGTGTCATTGTTTACCCACATTGTGAGTCTGCTGTTGGTATATTGCTTGGGGCATGAAAATAATTAATGGTCTTGTACTGTATCGCGTACCTTGTCAGTGTCGTGCGCTTTGCTTGGCCATTTGTTGTGATAAACAGGAAAGTGTGTCCAGCTGAATTCAATTTGAGTTTTGTTAAACGAATAAAAAAGAAGCTTAGTTTACCGCGGAAGCGGTCGTGTGAAGACCGAAGAGTGTAAAGAACATTGACTCTACCGTTTGCTAAATGACTAAAAGTAAAAGTAAAGTAAAGTAATTACCATCACTGCATATTCCATTACTTCATTTCACCACTGTCATGTCATAAGCAATAATAATCACACCGACTGACCATATCACCCATGTGAGACTGGAAGTCGAAGCGCATAGGAGGGCAGAAGACGTTGTTGTAGGTCTCCATGAGCCTTTGCTTGTCTGCGTTGGCCTCCAAGTTCTCCGCAGCGTTCTCAATGGTCTCTAAACCACCGTGCTTGGAAGTCTCCACGTTAAACTCGGCCGAGAGGTAGGTACGCAGTGCACGGTTCAGGCTGGCATGGTAGCCCAGGTCACAGCACTGAGAGAGGGGAAAAAAGGGGGGCATTTGGTTGGTATTTTGAGCTGTGAATGTAAAAGCTGTGAATTGAGAAAGGCATTAAAATCCAGAGTAAAGCACAACATCTGTGAAATTGTACTTTTTAAAAAGTACTTTTTATTAGTACTAAAAATAAAATAATTAGTGATAAAATAATAATAAAAATATGCCCTCTGTACTCCCCCTGAAACCCATTTTCCTATTAACCCATGTGTGGTTAAAACTTCACTTCCATGCTCTGATTGCTTCAAATGAAGACCACTCAAACTAAATCCATCATTCACAGTTCCTCACTCACAAAGAGGACACCATGTTGCGTGGGCCCCTGTGTGCCGAAGTTAAGGGTAATACGGGGAGGAGATTTCAGCACTTTGTGGGTGCCTTATAAGGAGTCTGATGTTGATTTTGTGGGACAAGTGGGCCCTCTTGCGGAGCTCACACGAGGGGCTGCTACAAGTTTACCTTCAGGGTCACACTTGAAGAAAGAAGGCTGATGAGGCAGCATACTGTCAGAAGGTGTTACTACATTGTGGGACACTGTACATGGGCATATTTAGGGCATTACACTTAAACGCCCTTTTAGGGCTGCACAGTATACTGCAAATAAAAAAAGTACAGGGGTACGAAAAAGTTTGCCAGTGCTCACATGACAAGAAGGATAATGGGCTGTTTAACAAATTCTTAATGGTGGAATTTAATTACTTAATGATTATATTTTTATGCAAAAATGAATGAGATGACCATCATACGACATACGAATTTAAATTATTGAATTACAGAAGAAAAGTTTTGTGAGAACTGTTAAAAAGGACTTCATCAAAATTAAAATGTTAAGATTAATCACAAATTATTTACATACTGACAGTCCTAGTTTCATTTCATCAGCTGCCCTGAGCTTGTAATCTATACTGATACACCTGGCATTGCAAGTTTTAAAAACCCTTAGATCAAACCAGTTCAAACCAGTGTTGTTAAACTAAAACGATGAAAAAGACAGTAAAATCATACTGAAGATACTAAGAACTAAAAATATTACAATTTATACATGTATAAAGCTAGAAAAAATGACAAAAGCACTAATAGAAGCTCATTTTATGAATAAAAATATAAATCCACTAATAATACTAAAATAACATTGGTTTTAACAAGTTAAGCTTGACTGCATTATAACATCAAATGTGACCCTGTTCCACAAAACATCATAAGTAGCACGGGTATATTTGTAGCAATAGCCAACAATACATTGTATGGTTCAAAATTAGCGATTTTTCGTTTATGCCAAAAATCATTAGGTTAGGTTAGGTACTGATGTAGTGGAGCACGAGCCCGGGTCGCAAGCAGAGCAGCGCCACCGGAGTGAGATGTGCGTTCCCAGCATGCGGGGAGGATATTAGGATATTAAGTAAAGATCATGTTACATGAAGATATTTAGTAAATTTCCTACCGTAAATATATCAAAACGTAATTTTTGATTAGTAATACGCATTGCTAAGAACTTCATTTGGACAACTTTAAAGGCAATTTTCTCAATATTTAGATTTTTTTTGCACCCTCAGATTCTAGATTTTCAATTTGTTGTATCTCAGCCAAATATTGTCCTATCCTAACAAACCATGCATAAATGGAAAGCTTATTAGCTTCAGTTTAAAAAAATTGACTTGTTTTGTGGTCCAGGGTCACAAACATCAAAAGCTTTAAGAAGGAATATTTGTGATTTAGCTACAAAAACATTGTTGTAAACATTTATCTATAACAATACACTAGAAACACATGAAGATTCCTGAACTGGCTCTTTGGAGTGATGAGATAAAGGTGGACTTACATCTATGAGGTCAGACAGATCATGGATGTAGTATTTGAAGACACAGTTGTTGGTGGCCTCCAGAGCCAGAAGGTACTCATTCCTGGCCTTGTTGGCTTTCAGCTTGTTCTCAGTGTATTTTGCTTGCCGCTAAGAAAAAAAAAGTAAAACCAGGAGGATAAGACAATGGTTGAGAAACGGACAGATATTTTTTTTTCACAGTTCATAACAAACGCAGGCTTTAAATGTCAGTGTTTACTACTGTCACGCAACAAAACATCTTAAAGTCAAGCATAAAGTCATAGTATGGGGAAAAACATCTGTTTTAAAATTTTTGTGTAAAAACAAAAGTTTGGAATAGCATGAGGGTAGGTAAATAATGACAGACTTCTTTTTGAGCGAACAAAACCTTTACAGCGTACGTTAAACATGAGATCATGATGGATGGCATGTTGTTTAACTTCTACTAGCCCTCCCTAAATAGGCTCATGTTAGAGCTGCCACCACAAACTGTACTACATTTCCATCTGTAAATGCTGCTGGGGTGACCACAGGCACTCTCTAGTGGGACACACATAGAAGAGCTGCTGTTGGTCTTGTGGAAACAGAGGTGGCCCTGGAACAACCCAGCGATGATCCCATCAATCATTTCGTAAGTTGGTGGTACTGGACAGAGACGGTAACCAGAGGACTCCAGAAGAACAAAGACATGGATTGACAACAATATCTGGCCCAGACATGCTAATGCCTGCCCCCTGCCCCAATGTCATCTCATTACATCATCAAATGACATTCTACAACACAGTATATACAGTCATAGAGGAGCCATTCACTTGATGAATTAAGCTGCCTTTTAGTGCTTAGGATTACCATATCAAATTGGAAATTTCAGGAATTTTGCAGCCTGGAATCTCAGAGTGTATAATCAAGCCTTGTTTCACACTAAGTGTTTATTTTGTGATAATGACCAGCTGATTGAATTTTATGCTGTGTTACATTGCTACTTACAAATTAAATATGTAAAATGACAAGAAAAGACCATTGTTGGTCACCACTTGTGACTTCTCTCACTCTCTCTATATTACGTTTCTATGTAAATGTATATAAAATATAGTTTATAATATATTTAATTGACTATATTTTTAATTTATTATATATTTAATTAAATTAATTATAAATTAAATTAAATTAAATTAAATTAAATTAATCAAAATGATGACATGAAAAGCCCACTGTTGGTCATCTACAGTATTTTATTTTTATTTTTATTTATAATGAATATGGAAACACCATTGTTGGTCACCTATTTTATTATATTTTGTCACCTGTTTTAATTAATTTTCATTTTTTATGAATGCAGAATGGCGTGACCAATCAGAATCAAATATTTCAGAGTGTCGTGTGACAAGCATAGTATTATTTAGGCATGATAAGAATGGATTCCGTATCTGACGCATGATATAAATTAAACCACTGTCAACAGGTCATTAAAGCTGTCGAGGATCAGGTTAAGGACCCTCAACACCCTCTGGCAGTGAAGGCATCCTCTGTATCTCTCACCAGCTCATTGCTCCCTGTGCTCTGCATCTTTCAGCCTCTCTCTCTTTCCCATTTCCCTGAAATCTCCTTCCATCTGTTCATTCTTCTCATGCCCACGTTCACCTTTCCTCCACATTCTCTGTTTAAACTGTCCAAGAAACTCTGATTTCTCCTCTTTTCTCACCCCATCCCTTCTCATTTGAACCCTCTGCTCTCTCTGCTCACCTTCTCCTTCATCTTCTCGATTTTCTTGACGGAACTGCGGCGCACATGTTTCTCCTCGATCTTGATGTTTGTGAGCGAGTCGGGCGAGCGCGGGGTCTGCCTGTCCTCATGTCGGACGCTGCGGCTCATCTGTTTCTCCTCCTGCTTCTCTGCCTCCTTCAGCTTGCTTTCAGCATTGATGCTGTCCATGTTGTACATGTGATAGGTCTTCATCACCTGTGCAGTAAAGAAAAGGAGGTTAAATGTGCATGAAATCGTAGATTAGACAGAGAAAATGCATCATGCTCTGTAGGGCTGCACGATAAATCGCATGCGATATTTAACGCGCATCCTGTCAGAAAGCCGGTTCTGTACAGTGATGTATGTCATTGAAATGTGATGAATTGGATTCTGCAAAGAAATATATGGAAGCCTGCTTTTTTGCCACAGGAAAAATAAATAAATAAAAAAGGTAATTTTGACTTTTTATCTCACACTTTTTTTGTGTGCAAGATTTCTAATTGCAACAAACTCAATTTCCAATATTTTTCTGTAAATAAAATACATTTTCCAATAAATTCTGACTTTTTTCATCAGAATTGCAAGAAAAAAGGTCTGAATTGTGAGGTATAAACTCAGAATTGCAAGACAAAAGTATGAATTATAAGATAAAAGGTTGTAATTAATTACCTTTTTTTTATCAAGCTTTCAATCAAGCTTCCATATAAACGGCAGTACAAACAATTGAGCATAATTAACTATAAATATTTTTCAGCATGACTCTGATTTTGGCGTATGTGTCATGGTGTTTCTTCTTTTTTTTAAATAAGGATCATGTGTCAAGAATACATGTGGCAAGAACTGGGCTGAAAGAGGAGAACACAGTTATTCACATAACAACCAACTAAAAAAACAGGCCCAAAATCATTCACACAAATGCTTTTTACTCACAGTCAGGCATGCAATACCTTTTTAGCTCAATGTGTTTGTATAGGCAGAGAGGCAACGGGACAATGACTTTCCATTACAAGGACTAAAACTCTAGCAGAGCCGCTATGCTGAAGAAAATCCCATAATCTAGCCTAATTTATTATCCCTTATTGCTTATTCCTTGTACCGGATCAGTTTAAATTACAGAGGAAGAAAATGCACAGCACAGATTTATTACTTTGGGTGGACTGCAAACAGAAGTCATATACTGTAAATAGCATACTCTATCATACACTGTAAAAATTAAGTTTTCTTTCTTTTGAAATAAAAAAGTTTGATGAAAACATCCTGAACACTTCCAGAAAACAAAACTTCCTTCTAACATGGCCAATCATGTAAATGTAGATGCAAAAACACCTCATTCCGAAGTTTCTTACAATAGCTCATTGAATACATTAACATAATTTCACATCAAAAAATTATTCTGTGTTCAAATCTTAAACACCAGAAAAAGAAACAAGAGTAAAATGTGGGAAAGTTGTTATATATAGGCCTATAATGTGTTATATAAATACTAAAATAGATTAAATAAATAAGAAATTATTATTTATTACTATTCCATAAAATAAAATTACAAACATTACAAATCGCAAGGAACATCTAAAATTTTATGACCCCTATAAAGAGCAGTTTATGTCTAAGTCCAATGAGAGGCTATGGTGAAAGATCTGTATCATCTGTGACTGTTGCCAATGAATGGAAGACACCACCAAGCTTAATAGTTAGCATTCAGCAGATGCTAAATTTGGGAATGGGATTGAAGGGAGGATCTCATTCCAAACTTCTGCTCCTTTGAGAGGAATGTAACAGAGTGACGCCATTCTTGTGCTTGCAATCAAACACACTGCCAAGACCGGAGAGATGATACCAAGCCATCGCTCGCTGTCTGTGAGAGAGAAAACTAATGGACTCCATTTCCCTCCATTTACACTGGCTTTCATGAGGGTGTCAGCCTCCATGATGGGCATAATAAATTTAATAAGCTCTTTGCAATGTCATCATTAATAGGAAACACTTACAGGAGGAATTTGGCAAACATAAATGTGGGCGGCTCTCAATGGCCTTTTCTTGCTCTTGTAAAGTGCAAAGAAGCATCAGGCTCTTTTCCAGTTTTTAAAGGAAAAGTTCACCAAAAATGTATCACAGAAGAAAGTTTTGGATCGACACAAGGGTGAGTAAACGATGACAGAATATTCATTTTTGGGTGAACTACTGAACAAGCCACCGTTGAGCTTATAAAAAAAGAACGCTAAAGATTGTGAAGAGGAAACTCAGTTCATCACGTTTTTCACCATTTTCGGCCCTATGGGGTTCCTCTCTGATCCAAAAGGCTGAGATAATCATCATCAGCTTTTCCATTCATTCTTTCCTTTCTTCATATAAAGCACAGATGTCACTAAAAATGGTGCCAGGTTTATTTTCATCATCCTTAACTCTTTAATTAAAGGATCTGCTAAATTTTTATGGGGTATTGAAATGGGTTACAGTCATTTCCCAGGAGAACATGTGTGGATGTGTACGGGGGGGAATCTAGTCGCCATTCAAAGAAAGCCAATATCACGGGTCCTCCTTCTACCACATTTGAGCCCAAAACACCCCACCCTGAAAACCCTAAACTATTCCTTCCTCCCCCACAAAAATGAGGAATACAAAAATATGTGGACAAACACAAAGGCATTTCTAATTTAATTTCTTCTCCCAGTAAAAATAAAAGCTTGAAATTATTAGGATTATTTAGCTGCGGCACTAGGCATATATGCATGGAAGCCTTGTGCAATACTGTGCTGTGTATCAGAAAGCAGCACTCCCCTAATACAGCAGGATAATAACATGACTTGCAATCCACTGAATCATCCCTGAATTTTCCGTGCACCATTGCTAATTTCAGCACTGCCGGGGATCATGGGTCTCTGCGGTGGTATGGATACTGCAACGCTAAGTCTATAAAACAGTAATCATACTGCCACTGAGGGTTAAAACTGAGGTTAACTGCCATTGAAGGTTTTTTCGTTCTAAAATTTAAACACTGAAGGAGTTCCCGATAAGCCACTTTCCATAAATAGGGTACATGTTGGTATCCCACTTCTCCACTACTTTTAATAAAGCATAAAAGGCACAAATCTCATGTTGTTATAGTGACATAATTAGATGTTACGTAAATCATCACTTAAAATTAGCATAGTATCAAAATGAGCTAGCATTAAACACATTGCTGTCTGTATTCATCAAGCTCAACCATTCAACCCTGTTACCAATCTTATTGTAAAAAAAAAAATGATCAAGCAAATTTATGGAACTTATTTATTTTACATTTGGTCTATCTGATTTCAATAATATAATATAATATAATATAATATAATATAATATAATATAATTTGATTGTCTTCCTGAGGTTGGCAATCAACATTCATCTCCATTTATTATTAACTATAAACGAACAGTTTTTGTTAACCGTTTCATTAACAGATGAAGTAAAATAAAAAATAAATATTACATGAAAAAAAACTTTAATAAAAAAACCTACTAAAATGACTGATTTCTGAAATAAAATGAATGAAGCTAAATAGAAATATGGGTAACACTTTACAATAAGGTGTAATTTGTTAACATTAGTTAATGTATTAACTAACATGAACGAACAATTAACAATACATTTATTACACTTTTATTACGCTTTTATTACACATTTGATCATCTTTGTTTATTAATGTTAGTTAATAAAAATACAATCGTTCATTGTTTGTTCATGTTAGCTCACAGTGCATTATCTAATGTTAACAAACATAACTTGTGATTTTAATAATGCATTAGTAAATGCTGAAATTAACATTAAACAAAAACAACAAAAAAGACAAAAGCACCTAACAAGCAGTCAGTCTGCATGCCAGCAGGTTAGATTCATTGCTGACTGACGACTATAATTACCATCATTCACTGCTTGTTCATACCCCCTGTCTTACTAAGAAATTACAAGGACTGCCTGGTAAGACATTGTTTTGTTCACATACACACAAACCTATTTCAAGGCACATAAACATTAAACGGTTCCTTCTAGGCCATTTGGAAACAACAATTCGCACACACCCTGTAACACAACCACACACAGGGGGGCACACAGTGACTAAAAGCTCTCAAAATATTTTCAACAAGAAGAAAAAGCAACTATAGCCAACCCCACACCTCAAAAATACTGATTGGACTACAACCACAAGAGACCAAAATAACCACTCGACTGAAGCAGAGACTCGATGCCTCATCAGTGCAGAAGGCTGACGCAGAGGAACCAAAGATATTAAGAGAAAGAAACTGAGGATTCATGCACTCTGTTTTGTTTGAAAACTGAAAGTGACAAACAGATAATGAAACATGGAAAAACTGAATAAAGATGATAGCCTCAGATTTAGTGCTGAAAATAAAGTTATGCTCGACTATGCTGTGTTTGCATCTTACCGTGTACAACTCATTGAGGACCTTCATCAAATCCTCGTGCAGCTGGAGGCCCACTTCTTTACTCTGTAAGAAAAAAGAAAAAACATTAGTATAAAACAATAATGGTATAGATCATGATTCACAGTATTTTCCTGTTCTCTATTACAACTGATAATCCGTTTTGGGCTGTGAGCCCTGAAGCTGTCACTGTTGAACTGATGAGATGTTTTCTGCTCTTTCAGTAATGGAGGTCATCACCAGCTTACTCAAACACATCTAGTTCAATACAATCTCACCCAAATGGTCACATTATATTGGAACACTGCACACTGGGCCGGATTAACCATTCAGGCATTTGGGCACATCAAAAACGGGGCCGTACAAAGAGTTTTCAAATGGCGCACAATGGCCAAAGCCTCTTTTTCTGCTTGTATATTCTGTTTCAGTTGTAAATACGTCATATTATGGAAATAAAATGGGTTGAAACATCAATTTATTTATGACTTTAAAGGGAAAGTTCTACCCCAAAAATTCTGAGAGAACTATCCCTTTAAGTCACTAGCGTTGCTACGTTCAGTTACAATAGTTCCGCTTGCGCACTTGTCTAAAGGTTATACTTCTGTTTGAGCCATTTAACAAAACTGAAGTGTACAGACAATGCAAAAGTATTTTATTTCAATGAATGTCAAAAAGTGTGCAGCTGAACTGAAACTGGAAACCCTTACTTGTGATTTTGATAAGACTTCTTCTTAGAGACTGTGGAAAAAAGAGGTCTGGTAAACTCTGTGTGAAATGGAAATGGTGGTTTGCTGTTCTGGTGGATGCTGGATCTTGTAAGAGGAAGTTTGGGAATGAAGGCACAGCATGACATGAAAATGAAGTGCTTGCGAATTCAAGTCCAAACTTCAATCGCTGTGGGCTGATAACTTGGGAGCCGGCCAAGAAGATGTCTAGCATTCACTGAGGGCTTTGACTCAGTCACCCCTTCCCTATTCCCCACATTGAAATTTTTGTGGGTTTTCCTGTTTTTGAAGGTCTGAACGAGGCTTTTGCTGGCTGTTTTTGGACAGATGTCAACTAGCTCCTGAGTTCTTGAGGATGAGAAGTGATGGAAATTATGGAAGAGAAAAGAAATACGAGGCTGAAAGGAGATGAAGTTTGTGCATGGGCGTAAAAGACAAAAGGGAAGTTAAAGGGGTCATATGATGCGATTTCAAGTTTTCCTTTCTCTTTGGAGTGTTACAAGCTCTTGGTGCATAAAGAAGATCTGTAAAGTTGCAAAGACTAAAGTCTCAAATCCAAAGAGATATTCTTTATAAAAGTTAAGTCAGCCACACCCCCCTAAAACGGCTCGTTCTAACACGCCCCCACACTGTAAACCCGAACAGTACTACTAACTTATAAAGATTAAGAACACTGCAATTAAAGTCTGTTAAATCGTTGATGCAACTTATATGTGGAAATATTTGCATAATGCGGCCCAAATGTGCACGCAAAGAAAGAAGGCGTGGTTTCAGTAACCGCAGTTAGTGTTGAAGCAGCATGTCAGGGAGACGCTGTGTGTTTCTAGGCGAAAGCAAAAGCACTTTATTTGGCCTTCCGGAAGTAGATGCATTTAGGAATCTTTAAGATTACTTACAACAGAACAGCAATGCATTTTATGGACGACCGTTTCGTGAACCTAGGAGAGTAGGTAGTTCTGACTTTGCTATGACAATCTGGCGCTTCTGAATCAGCTACTGTTTTGTTATTAGTTTAAGTATTTGCTATTGACTGTTCAAATGCGGAGTTTTGCGCATCGTGTGTGTGTGTGCGCGAGCGAGCGAGAGCGAGAGAGAGAGAGAGCGCGAGAGAGCACATACCAGCTTCATCACTGTGTCTGTCACGTGACTCTGTTCCCCTTTCGGGCTCTGTCTTTACGTTTATTTTGAAAGATGAAGCTCGGCGATTATGGTAAGGGGCGTTACATTTCCGACGAGTGCTTGCTGTGTTCGGCCAATCACAATGCACTGGTTCAGCTGGCCAATCAGAGCAGACTGCATTTGTCGGAAGGAGGGACTTTGTAGAAAACGAAGCGTTTGAGAGAGGCGGGGCATAGAGGACCTACAATAACGTACAGTATTTGAAAAATAATGTGTTTTTTGAACATTAAAGCATGTCAACATACTCTGTTACACCAAATACACAAAATAATGATCTTTAAAATAGCATCATATGACCCCTTTAAGGGTGAAAGAGTGAAATAGAGAGAGTGTTCACAAACAGTCAATCTGTCAATCTTCACAGAGAGTGATCGTCAAGTCACACAGTTCCCTTCATGTTCCATCCAGGATGGAAAGACTGGAGTTCATTTTAACCCTTTGAAAGCTGAGATGGATGAGTAGGCTGTGGGGAGGCGTCCCATAGGAGATCCCCTTTAGGAAGTCATTCATAATGGAGCTCTGATGGGTTTTATTTGGAGGCAGTGGACAGAGTAATATGTGAGAATGCACAAGAACACCCAGATTTAGAGCAGAGGATGAACTGCCTGTCTGGAGATGCTCACCTCACCTCTCTAAACATGTCTGAGGAATTTTGTCAAGCTGATTGAGCTCATAACTTGGCACTAAAATAAGACAAAAGTTCAAGACAAATGTTGCACGATGCCTTTCTATTGTATTGCATTCACTGGCTGCAGTCAAAAACAAATATATCTGTGTATATTAACAAACAAAAGAATCTTAGAATCTATAGATTTAATTAAATATATTTCATACAAATATATAACATATAATCGAATTGTTATTTACATTTTTCAAATAGTTATTTTTATTTTTATTTATAATGATGTAAAACAGTTCATTTATGCATATAATTCTTTAAAATGTATTTCAAATATAAATATAAATAACACTGCTGTACAATGTCAAAGTTCCATCCACTTGACTGAAGGCCAAATTACTATAACGAGCCTTTATTGTATTAAGGTGTAAAAGATGCCAACAAAAACACTTTTTATTGAATTAAGGCATAAAATGAAAGAAAATTATACATCTGGTTTATTTTTGACGTGCATGGTGGCCTTGAAGTAAGGCATATTTTGTGTAAAAGTTCAAAAGATAATTTCCACATATTGAAGTGCATTAGTACTAGAAAGTTAATCTATTTGTCAGTGGAGACTGAAGAAAGAGGAAAGGGGAAAAAAACTTTGTTAATCTTTTCTTAATTTAATCACAAATGCACATAATTAGCAACCATAATCTCACGAGGAAAACAAACATAGACATATGAGCTCTTGTTCCAGGGATTCATAAACCCCAAAACAACCGCTCAAGCTATAAATGGCTGGTGCAATAACATCATTGGAAGCAACCTCAGACCAGTAGATTTCTCCAGTGGAAAGGCCTAAAAATACCTCCAAAAAACATCCAAATACTTTATTTATGAGAACGTTGTCCCATTACATTTTCCTGTCATGTGTGAGCGTTAAACTGAAGGTGTGGAAGATGGTTCAGAAGCATACGGTCTCCCCAGCTGACGTCTGTAAGCTCATTTGTGCTGTCTCCAGTCTGCCCTGCTGGTTTCCCTAATTCAGACCAGTTCAATAAGGAACATTTGATGGATTTATTCAGCCTGCTCTTTCTATTAGGAGTGTTAGGTCTAAGCTACTTCTTTCCACTTCTTCTTGCTCCGCCTCTCACAGACACACATAACACTTCCCCTCTAAGCAGCATTACATTCCCGCGGTGAAATGGATCTTCAGGAGTGCGGTCGGAGCAGGCAGAGCTGCCTTCCTCCATCTGCTTGGAGACACACTCCAAAGACAACACAAAAGAGCCCCAAAAAATGGGAGTAAACTATTGATTTTCCATGAAGGCCTCTATAAATCTATTAGACAACAGGGGAGAGGCACTGGGACGGGAGGACATGGATTTATGAGCCGTAATGGTGAGATGCACTTGTTAAATGAAAAAGATCACACGTTTGTCTGTGAGCTTGGCAGGAGATTGGTTTTAGTTCTGCACAAATCTGTCAAAGAAGCATCACTTTGGGGTGTGTGTGAAGGGGATTGGTTTACTGGCACTCAACATCAGTCACATGTCAAAGGACTGTTGATATCAGCGATGATTGTTCTTGCACCTCTGCTACTAATTCCCCCAATAAACAAGAGCATGTAGTTGAATTGATGAAAATCTTTTGCCTTGATGTAAAAAAACAAAACATTGTGCTTGTATTCGGAGTGATCAGAGCTACTTCAGTGGAGAAATGCTTGAAAAATCTTAAGTCCATAACATGAATAATGTTTGTTGGTTGGAGTCCAAAGCACAGCCAATATTCCAGAGTCTATTTTCTTTTCCTACTAAAGAGAAATCTTTTCAATTTATTTTCATCATAGCTAGTGTTAGTGGCACTAACTGAGTCGCCAAAGAGGTTTTCCAAACACGTCTACACCAATATTAAAATTCTGGCCGATACAGATAAGCCAATAATTATTTTCATAATAAATAACAAATATTCCACATACTTCTGACCAAATATATTAAAAATCAAACACTCCCAATTTTAAAAAATAAATCGTTTTAAACTGTAAAGCTGAATTTACACATCATAACATTCAAATAGAAAACTGTAATTTTTAATTGTAATAATATTTTAAAATATTCCTGTATTTTTTTTATGAAGACTTTGTTCCAAAAACATTGTCTCTCTACTATTTACTGCCACATTTGATAAGGTAGAAAACTGCTTTACAATCTTTTTATTCTTGCTCATGAAAATATGTTTAAAGGGGTTCTATTATGCTTTTTCACTTTTTTAATTTTAGTCAGTGTGTAGTGTGTATGTTTGGGCATAAAAAAAGCGCGACCGCCTGAAACGCTGTTTTTTTCACCACCGTGGCCAAACGTCTTTGTTTGGGCTTCCGAAAGCGGATGATGTCAGGAAACAGTGGTTGCAATTTCTTTTTTAACTCTGTCCCTGAGCATTATAACCCCAATTTGCTATTGTGTGCTGCGCATTTTACTGAGGACAGCTTCCACAACACGAGGGAGTACAGTGCCTGCCGGATTCGCCAAAAAGCTTTTGTTGAAAGACGGAGCAAGGGG